ATTCTCCGTTTGTCGGCTTAAATTTTATTTTTTACCTGTCTTACTCTTTATACTCGTTTAACCCGCGAATACAATTCTCGGCTCTATACAAGTGGGGTGGGCACGCCCAGCTTTTCACGCATGTCAAGTGACTGCCCTCACCCCCACCCCCTAGATTGGCTACACTCCCCCTGGCTCACGAATTCCCCGATTCTCGTGACAGTATAGTAGCGGGCAGCAGTCCCACTTACATACATTTCTGTTCAAAAAATGCGGCGTGCCCACCCTACTTGTATAGCACCCACTTCTCTTAGCTTTAGCTTTTCTGTAGCTGCCCTTCCCACTATACTCAACCCTTCACATACAAAGGCCGCTTCTATCAAGTCATCTAACGTATTCCTATCACTGCTTTTTGCCACGCTGCACAATAATCGTCCTCAGCTCACTTCGTCGGTCCCTCAGCCCCACCCGATCGGTTGTCTAGCCAAAATACTCACCAAGGGCTGCCTCCTCCTTGTACCACCCACTAATGGCTTCGCTGCACTAGCTGGGACCCAGTTGCTGTCTGGAAGACAAATGAGTTATTTGTCTGGCTCCTTGATAACAAATCACCCATTTGTTCAATGGATGGGCAAGTTTTTTTGTGTGTCGTACAAACTTTGTTTTTATGGAATCAAAGTCATGTGTTTTCTGGCACCCGAACAAAAAATGGTGTTGTTCCAGTCACGAGTCGTTCTCATTCCGTGGTATTACTTCAATTTCAGTACATCCGGGCGTCTGGTTATAAAACCGCACTCTATCTGAGCTGAAATCACCTCTTTTCTACGGGAAATTTGACAAAGTTTTCCACTTACGCCTCTCAAATGAATTTCTCGAATTTCTCAAAGTTCGCAGAGGCTTCCCCTCAACCCTTCGGATAACTGTCAAGTTAGCTATAAATTTTATGAATATGAAGCTGATTAGTCCATGGAGATGGGATGGGTTTTTGGGGAGGATTTGATCAATTTGTGCTCTCCCTGGCGTTTCTCCTCTCTCCTGGCTTTGCCGCTAGTGTCAGGAGGTTTACGGACTACTTGCACTTTCGTCTATGGTCCTGCCACGAATGGCGGAGAGCACAGACGATCAGAGAATGGCGCCTGGCTCGGCTCCAAATCCCAAGGAGGGAGGTGAGAGCCTTAGGACTAAGCCTTGTAAGGGGGAGGGAATCCGAGGTGGGTGAGCCAATTGCATTGTGGCAAAAGTTTGAATGTGTGAGATCGCAGTGGTGATGAGCCGCTGATAAGGTGAGAGAGCGCAGACGAAAGCGTCGAGTGAGGCAGCTTAAAGGGCCGAGTGCAAGTAGTCCGTCGACCTACTATCGCCAGCCATTGGAATGTCTCCCCTCAGGATATGAGCGCCATTGCAGTACGACACAGCAGCCTATATGATTCAGGACATGGAGACTGCGGCAGCGGGCAATAACTAGACCACCCCGCACAACACTACTTAGCTAGTTGTCGCCATGAAAGCTCCTATTGCAGCGGTTTCGCGCCAGGATGAGGGACGGCATCTACGACGTCGCGGCTGTTGCTGCGGTGCCGCAATGTGGATGTCGTGACCCATAGCCGTGCCGCTCATCTTACACCGTATCTTTTTAATTTTCAGTTATTTCATCTCATAAATGGCTATGCTATCGCGAGAACAATTGGACGAGTTCATTATTTACCGTACGAGAAGGAGAGTCGAAAAGTGGTAGTGAAGTATCTGGAAATATTCAAGCGTGTGTTTCCCGCACTCGAAAGTACATACTTCTTGGACCAGGTAAGGGCTCTGCCAACTTATTTCTTCACAGAGAAGATTTTTTTGATTCCCTTACATTGAGAGATCCAATAGCGCCAGTCTGATAGGGCTCAGTAGGTATGGGCCAACGATTCTTTGCAAAGCAATTCCTTTTTCGTGCCAGTTGAGCCACTCTCTAACTTGAGAAGATTAATTGGTAATTGAACAGGGGACCGACATAAATCCTGAATAATGGCATTGTGATTAGTTCCTTACGAAGAAATAGCCACCTTAACCTAATTTTGATGAAGAATGTCGCTGTGAGAATGAGGCGGAGCTTTTTATCTCAAACCTTTGTGTGCCACCAATCAGAGACGTTCTACGTGTGCTCGGCACGGCCCTTACAAGGAAGGTCGTTCAGGGTGTGCCGAGCTTTTTCGAAATGGTTTCTTGCATGACATTGGGGCACATATGGGGACCACAGAAGCATGGTTCATTTTTCCTGAACGAATACCAGAAAAGGGGTCCCTAGTTCGATTCCTCGTGGTGACAAATTTTTGCATTTCGAGTTGACGTTTTCAAAATTCGCGCAAAATGGAGTTAGCATGAATAATTAGTACCATATTCATGATTAGGAACGTCAGTAACCCTTACAAATAGACTTTGATTGAAAAACTGGTGAAAAAGGTGTGACTAGGGACCCCCTTTTCTGGTATTCAGAGGGCCGTTCAGGAAAAATTAACCATGGTTCTGTGGTTCCCGCATGTGCCTCTATATCATGCAAAAGACCGTTTTGAAAAAGCTTGGCACACCCTGAAAGACCTTCCTTGTTAGTGGGTGACCGACTGGGTTCTCCACCAAGAATCTGACGACTAACAACCCTTAGCGTTCTAAGTACATCCAAGCGCATTTTTGCCTGTAAAGAACTCGTTTTCAGGACAGAATAAATGGAACACTGGTCAAATTCGCGAACAACTCTTGTTGTGTGTACGACAATCCCAGACGGTAGGTTACTTTGTCGCGCTGCAACTGAACTAGTTACGTGGAGTGTGCCGTGCGCTCGGCTTTAATTTCTGCTCCTAAGAGTAATTGAAAGTCATTTCGACCTCAGACATTCGTATGAAACACGGTCTTGAAATAAAACACAGTTTTGAAATGAAATTTGAATGATATTTGAGAAAACCGGCCAATCTTCCTTTTTACTGCCAAAAGTGATAAAATTTTATTTACCCTCGAGGGCCCAGAGGATGTGGGTCGCTAGGACAGAAGGTGAATTTTTTGCTTTTCGGGCGCGAAACTTCTTTTGCTGCGGGAACCTCAGGTCCACTCCTGATCAGGAGTGGACTTGGAGTTCACGCAGAAAAAGGTTCGTTGTGAAAAGCTGAAAAAATCGCTTTCTGTTCTAGCGACCCACAGCCGGGTCCAGATGGTTTTGACGAGATCAGGAACTGGAGGACGTGCTAGAGCAGGGCGTTACCTTTAGCTGGGTATCCGACAGGAGGCCCGTCGCGCGGCAAGAAGGCAGAGTCAGCGGACGAGTCGCAGCGCGTACTGTAGTGATTTCGCGTCAAGTTAAATAGAATGTACCATTGCACAGCACGCGCTGCGACTCGTCCGCTGAATTTGCCTCCTTGCCGCGCGACGGGCCTCCTGTCGAGTACTCCCTTCAGCAATTAGCGCGACGTTTGCTCAAATTATGATTTCAACGTTCACAGTTCAGGCTTATGAGCTATACGGACAAATACCTACTTCTGGACTTTTCCTGGGCACAAAATCCACGCTATTTCGAAGATATTCTAGAGGAAATTCGCGACATTCTCGAATTTTCACCCACCGTTGTCAGCGAGGGAAACCACTTGCTGGATAATCTCAAGGTGTAAGTTTCTGGATTGTTTTGCTTGGCTTTATCAAGGATCATAATGATCAATGAAGATCATATGATTTGAAGGAATGGTGAATTCTAGAAATGGTACACGGTCCGCGAACGATTCTTCGTTCTGGAACCATCCTTATCAAAATGCTCTATGCATTCATATTCGACGAACCGATTTCCTGGAGCGGAACATCTCCACCAACATGATGGAAACGGTATATGCAGCCAACGATATCGCTCAAGGAAAAGTAGGTATTGCAGTGAACTGCGTGCTTTGACACGACTCTGCGATATCAGGTCTATCCAGAATTATACACCTGTTCAGGGTCTCGAACGATTTGTGATATTCGGTGACGATAAGGAATTCATGCAAAATCTGTCGCACGTGATCATCGAGAAAGGAAACTGGAGGCCAGACGTAGGTGCTTTCGAATTACCATCAACTTTAAATTTTTTGGCTACAAATCTGTTAGTCTGTGAGCTTCGTCGTTCCATGAAACAACTTCGTAACTCATTGAACTGAAGTTTTTCCTCATACATATTTTCTTTATTTTTCTTTTATTTCTCCTGTATATTGACCTGACCTTTCGTAACGATTGAAGACTGATTCGAAGCAAGTTGTGGCTGCTGAGCAAACCCATAGCGTTTTACTTACCGTACACATCAGCAAGTATGGAAAGGTTTCTTTTGTGGCTTGTTGTTATTTTCTTTGAAGCTCCTCACGAGGTTGGCAAATAACTTTTATTGGGCTTACGTTTCGGCGAGGATCGCCTTCTTCAGAGCCTGAAAGAGTCGAATCAATTTATGACTACCCGATCAAATGCCCTAGCAGCCCTACTGAAGTTCGAGACCAAAACAACTCATCACGCAATCCAAAGGTGGGCCACCTACCGTAATACAGTCCAGTTGTCGAGACCACCAGAACAGCAGTGAGGCGATCGGACTGTTTGTGATTCAAAGTCACAGGTGGAAGGCCAACCTTATATAAGGCCTCAAAATAAATTGTTTTCTTTGTGCTTGCTCCGATGACAGCATTCTGTAATGGAGTGAAGAGAGACAAAACTCTCATATGTGAGCCTTAGGAACGCATAGTCAAGCTGAAATTCTCGTTTCCTATGAGATCGATCTTAATTTCCATTCCCTCTTACACCACTACTTACTACAACAATAGCAGTACCTAACGTATTGAAGAATTGGCGGCAACGCTCGCTCTTGCTCGTTCCTTCGCCGCCGCTCTTATTTCAATGATGTCACCAACACGCGAACGCATTCTCGTCACCGGGAGCTTTTCTGCGGAGCCTGGACTGAGAAGACTGGTGACTTAATTGATACAAACTGAAAGCACAGTTGCATCAGACTGGTACAGTGGATTTTTCGATGGTTCTTTGTGAACAGGATCAACGGTCTTCGGACAAAGTTCAGTAACAAAGGGGTCGCACACCACACCCTTTCTCTCTACGTGTAGTTTGCTAGTAGTAATCCGCAGCGTCGTACAAGCGTTCGCAATGCACGCTATCTACCTGTGAGATTCTAGAAAACAAATGTTGTAAAAGCATGCACATTCTTCGCTCGTATAATTGTCCTTATAGGCGTTGCCTGCACTGTGATTTTTTGGGGTTGTTGTGTTTGGGGGGGGGGGGGGTGGTGCGGAGGAGCATCGTTGTGCGGAAAGCTCTTCATGCTCTGCATCGCCACCCCACTAGGACTAAGTTTCAGGAGGATTAGTGAAGGGGTGAGTAAAGCAATTTTCATTCTTCCCGAGGTTCATCTTCTCACCCAAGCTCAGTTTGTTTACGAGGCCCTCCCCTGAGTGTATGTACTAGTGCCTTATTTTCCTGTTACAAAAACATTCCGAAGCATTTCATTCCAAATCCCTCACTCGCCCCTTCAGCACACTTGCTTTACAGAGACACAAGTCTAATGTGTAGTCATGGCCTGAAAGCAGAACAAAAAGAGAAAGAGCTAGGCCTCTGCCACGAAGTCTTCCAGAGTTTCCATATCGAGATTGGGATACATGAGTAAAAATATACTGAGTACAACTCAATTGAGCTTAGATCCACTTTAATACATGTCCTATGTTGGACAAGAAGCAAGTCAGAAATTTAAAATCGGTACTTGAACAGGCCAGCGACCGGATAAGATCCATTGAGCTGGCGACAAATGCTCCCAGATTTGCGGCACTTTAGCTAGCTCCTAGGACTTCAAAATTTGATAGAGGAATGCGCGAATCACTAATGGGGAGTTCTTAGGCTGGTGTAAACCAGGTGCCTCTTAGCTCTTGCATTTTTTTTAGATATAGATAAGCCTGTAAAACAATCCTTCTATAGTGGCTCCTGCATTGCCAAAACCAACAATGAGTGTATTTATGTTTTGTAAACATTTACCTTGGTGAACAATTTGTCTAAGCAGATTACTGTATCCTTCTCCAACGTCATTTTCCGTCTTCTGAAACGTCACGTAAAATGTGCCATAGAAATACGTGTACTTCACAGAATTGAAAAGCTACGTATTAAACAAGGGCCCCGATCGACTTTTCTGGTTTCCTGTTGTAGTTACCTCCATAGTATAATTCTGCGCGGAAGTATCAGGCAGGTCTAGAAAGGATTCTCATCCCAAGACGACCCCAGTGCTCGCTTCAACAGGAAATTACTATCGTCTAGAAATATACTCAAGACCTACTTTCTCAGTGTTCTCGTATAATAAGGGAATTGCCGGTGAGAACTGGCCGCAGAGCAGCAGAGTCCAAACGCAATCAATGTACCGCTGAATTCGGCTGCCGTTCGTCTCGAGTTCAGCGAAGCGATGATTCTAACGTTGCATCTCAAGTTTGTCGTTTCATTTCTGATCACCGCCGTGACGTCGTCGTTCGGGTGGTGGCTGGCGTTTTTCGTCGCCGATCAGAACTCCATCTATTACCTGCCAGACGAGCGAATTCACGGTGACAAAGTGCCGAGCAAGGAGTTGTTTTTGTGGGTTTTCAGGCGCGGGTCGCCGTAAAACAACAAACCGTAAAGTGCATCACCGCCGTGGATGGGTACTGTAATTGTAGTTAACAGATTTGTCAAACCCGTTCATTTTCGACCATTCAAAGAGAACAATGCGGACTTTTCATTAGTCGATGATGGAAAAGCTTGGCCGATCGGTCTTTCTGAGTTCTCGTACAGTACTCTTGGTTGAGGTCGACATAAGAGAGACGTAAAGCGAACAGCGCCTTCGGCTGGGACCGTATGCTGAATGTTGGGGAGGGGATGGAGTCCGACGGTGGACGGACCACTTCAACTCGGTCCTTAGAACCGCCCACAATTTGGTGCTTACCTCAGAACTAAGCCTTAAAGAGAGGACGGGTCCGTCCCCTCTCCAAGGCTTAGTCCTGGGGTGAGCAAACCAGCCCTTCTGGCGGAGCTGCTGGACCAGCTGCACCACTTGCGTCAGTACTCTCCTATACCCAACCGAGTTGAAGTAAACCGTCGACCGTTGGGGACCCCATCCCCTCCCCAACATTCAGCATACGGTCCCAGCCGAAACGCCAAAAGGGCTGGTTTGCTTACCGTCCCAAAAGACGGTAAATGTATGCACTTCGTATAAGCCTGTTTACTTTCAGGAAATCATGGCAAAAATACGTTCCATCGAAGAGAGTTCTTGAAGAGTGACGAATGGTCCGTGCATAGCTCTGCAATCGTTTGGAAATGTGCGGGAACAACCTCTTATCTGTATAGGAGCTCTATTTGTTCGAACTTTGTACATATCGAAAATGATGAAATTGCTTACTTACATAGAAATGAACGCCCGATTGTGTCCTTAGATAAATATCTCCCTGAGTGAGGCAGCAGGCAAAGAGATGGTGGTAGTGTCGCGAAAAAATTTGCGACAAAGGAGCTAATGCTTTCGTCCGACCGCTGCGACCGCTTCCTTTCTTATCGATCGCAGCAAGCCTGGCCTTCACTTCCTCTACCGTACCACGTGCTCTCTCCCGTTTCCCCTCTACTGGAAGCGTTGGGCTCTCCGTGGAACCAAGATCGACCTCAAAAGGGGAATTCACTTTCTCTATTTTGATTTTTGCTTTTTTCCTCAGTAATTTTGCTCTCCGCAATTTTATCTAATTCCCGAACAAAGCACCACGCCAATTCAAAATAACACACTGATTGTTCTGCGACCAGTGCCTTTAAGTCCAATGTCGTTGCACTCCTGAGCTCCCTTGCGCCTAAATGCGTTTCCGTATGCCTGCGACAGATTACGTCATTCCGAACTCACTTCAAAAATTGAAGCTCTGACTGCTTTTTCGATATTTACCGTGAAGCTCCACAAGTGTCCAGAGTGTTATACGAATAAAGAGGAAGTTAGAAAGTCGCATATTTGAGGAACTTCTATCGTTACAGAATCATGTATTGAACAAATAAAAATAAGTTTTTATCATGCTCGTCGTCATCCCAAACTCGACGTGGAAATAAGACGAAATCCAGTTCGGTAACTGTTTATCGTCTTCACATTGGGCCTAACTTCTCTCCATGACCGGTTTTCTTCGTTACGCAATTCCTTACCTGAACAACACGTCTAACAATTCTAAGGGCTAAGCTCCCCTCGTTACACGTTACGAACTTCGATATCATACTGTAGTTCCGGCGCTCCGCTCAGCAGCGATAGTGTGATCGTTTACGGTATGATGACGGTGAACTTTAGCTATTGTTTCTCACTCTCGAATACTGTCTCATAGTAGCCAATCTACAATAACAGTTCCGTACAAAGGTTAGAGTGTGCAATACTCGTCATTATAGATTGTATAAGGAAAAGTGACATAGTGCCAAAAGGGTCGGGCAAGCGTGATTTTCTGGAAGTGGCTTAGCGGCGTTTCTTCGAGATCTTGAATGAATAAAGAACTAATGCCCAGCACGCTGGAGTCGATATATTCGACGTCCCACCCCAAACCGCAGCTTAACAGTTTAGTTCTTAGCTAATTTATCTTCATTTCGATGTCTAGGATTTGCCAAAGCTGAACTCTCAGCATAGAAGTATGTAAATATAGCCTAACGCATCGACGGAAGTATGAGTCTACCGACCTTAGTGCCACCAGGCTAAAGAATGGTTGCTCTATGTGAAAGTGCACCTTCGAAATGTTTCGAAATTTCTGTAGGCAGTAGAGTTCCATCAACACTCCTAGTCGATGGGAACTAAGTGAGAATCGAGATGGACATGTGGACAATTCGAGACTGGCTCCAGGAAGAGTGCATCGTGGCGCTTTTCGTGCATTTCTGAATTTCTTAGGTTTCTCCCAAAATTTCCTTGAATGCTTCACCACTTTTCCCTTTAATGAATCCACCCCACCGCCTCCACTTTCTTTACTAATTCATTTTCATTGACGGTCTCGTTGAAGCATGGTCCAGCATTACCTTCCATTCTTCATCCCTTTCTACTTCACCCTCCGAACACTATATCAAACGGGGAGGCGTATGCAGTGCGCCCTCCTAAAAGTGCGTATCCCCCATTTTTCTGCGATCTCTCTGAAAGAATAAGTGACCTAAACCCAAGCTTTTACGAGCGGTGCCTTAGAACAGTGCTGACATAAATCAAGAAAACCGGAAGGAAAGAAATGAGGACATTCTCTGTTTTTTTTTTCGTGAAAGATATCCTTATCAAAAACCAATGCTGGTTTCGATTTGAACTGAACGCAGCGTTATGGATTTAAGGCCTTTGTCTATCATAAGCCTTTGCGATTCTTATTCCCATATTCGTGCCTGGAGACCCCATGCTGTAGCAAAGTTCCAAGCCAGATTGAAAGATTGAGAATTGCTACAATTGCTGACTGCCAGATCCTTGTGAGCCTTATTTACATATTTATTTATTTAGATGCGCTGAAAGGTGTGCGCTGTGACATAAGCAATACCAGCGATTTACCCTTGGTTACTCCAAGCGTTTCAACTGGCACGCTTATTGCTTCGAGCGATTGCTCATTTTCCCCGTGAGACCGTTGCGAATTGTGTCTCAGTAAAGAGCACATTATGAAT